TTCATTCAGAACTCAAGTTTATTAATAATCAAGAAAATTAGTATAGATTACTTTATCAAATATAGCACATGATATAATTTATCATAGATCAGGTAGCCTAGGAGGCCTAGGAGACCTAGGAGATTTAGGAGGTCCAAGTGGCTCAAGTGATCCATTTTTATAAGTATATAAGCAGTTATAATTGCTCAAAAGTAGGATAAGTTGGTAGATAACTTTATTTTGATTTCTTGAAGATTAGATATCTTCTCTTGATTTTAGGACTAAAGGAATCATTCTAATTTTCTTGATTATTAATAAACTTGAGTTCTGAATGAACCATATTTCTTGTAAAACATAATGTGACACTGTTTAAAGGATTCTTAGTGAATATATGCTTGAATACTTCTTTAATTATTATAAACTATTTCTTTAATTCTTTCTTTGGGAATTGTCCTTTTAAAAGCAATTCCATTTAGACATATCAGTTAAATATAAATTTGATTACAATATGTAACTAGCCTGACAGAGGACAAAAAATAAAATAAAATAAAATAACTTGTCTTTTTATCAAAAAAAAAATAATTTTTTTTTTTTTTTTAAATCCTTTTATCAATTCTTCGAGGTTATTATATATCCTTTAATGAAAATTATCATTATTATTATTATTATTAAACATTACAAATAAAAAATTAATAAATATACCTTTAATATTCATAGAAGCTTTTGTTGTTTTAATACACAATTTTTTGTTAAATGATTTTCTATTTTTCAACATCGATAACAATAATTTTGATATTTAGATGAAATTGATAGACAATTTTGAATCTAATGTTCATGATTTTTACAAAATAAACATATATCATTAAATATTAGATGGGAATATTTGATTGATGGATTTGTAATTATTGTTAATAAAGTATCTGTTGATGATTTTTGAATTTCTGTGATATTTTTGATCATATTTATTTGTATCTTCATTATACTTGTCATGATATATCTTTGAATATGAGATATATTAGATATCACAGTTTTCAGAATTTCTTTAATAGTTTCTATGATCTTTAAATAAATATTTAATAATTATTTTGTATATATAATAAAATTTTTATTTTAATATATATGTACATATTCATTTTTTTATCTATCTTCATATTTAGAAATATAATACTTTAGCTTCTAATACTTTTATAAAATAGAATATTATAATCTGATTTCTATCTTTGTAACAAAATCCAAATTCAGCTTATATTACCTTGCTAATTTTATATTTCTAAAATGATCTGGCAATCTTGATTTTAATGGATTTGATTTTTAAAAAATCAAGAATGTAATTAAAAATAAAAAAAAAAAATGTATTTTATCAATTTTAATTTTGATTGGTTACTTTTAAATATTAATTATTATTGGTTAATCAAATTTAATGTTTAAATTTTTGATGGTGCAAGACTTTTGTGAACTACTGTATATAATAGTGCTAATAAAAAAGAAAAATATAGATCTAAAGCTTATAAAAGTTAAATATACTCAAATAATCACTATAATAAAGAAACAAATATCTTAGTAAAGAAAGCACTAAAATTTTTATTAATTAAATAAAAAGATATTACCTTATACAAGATTATTATTAAAAACAAATAATAAAAAAAAATCTTAAATAATTTAATTAAACAGTTCATTAAAAATATTAATAATAAAACAATAGCCTATTAGTGAATATACAAAACAGAATAAAGAAAAAATGGAGTTATTAGATTTCAAAATACTAGACTTATATATAGAAATTAGTATAAAAAAATTAAAGATGTGCATACAGTATATAGGATATATATTTAAACAATCCTAATAAAGAAGCTTTCTCATCAAACTGGATAATGATAAGTTACCTATTTTAAGTAAGTTGGCTATAAAAAGATTAAATATATATAAGTAAATAAAATATATTATATGTAGTTAACAAGAAGAAACCATAAAACACCTGCTATAATATTCAATTTATAAGAATCAGCTACAAAAGATATAATATAGAATAAAGAAGTAGATGGAATCATTAAAGGTTTTAAAGAACTTCTATGGAAAAAAAGAAAGAGGTTGAAGAAAAAAATTTTAGGCTGATCAGTTATAACCAAGAAAAAATAGAAAAGTTTGCCAAGTAGAACTCTAAAGTAATAGAACAAACTTTTAAAACCAATCAAAATATTCTAAGTTTTTGTACCAGCTTTATAAGAAATGATCTCATTCTAGAAATAGTAGACCTAAAATGTTAAGACATATAAAAAGAATAATAAAAAAGTGAATAATAAAGATACAAAAAAAGAGGTTACAATCAAGTTTGAAAAAAAGTTTTGAACAAGAGATGTAAAAAGATAATTAAATGGAAACAATCACAAGAGATTGATAAAAAAGACAAGACAAAATGACCTTTATGTCCTTTAGGCCAGAAAACTAAATTCTCAAAGAAAAAAGAATCACTACTTGAAGAAAAAAATCTAAAAGACAAAAGCCTTTAAGAAATTCTAACAAAAAGAGTAAAGTATGAAATGAAATGGCTAGAAATTTAGAAATTTTAATAACACAGTCATAACTCATATAATCATCTGCGTCCTCTTTGATTTGGGAAGATCTAGAAGTTTCAGAGTTTAACCAGGGATTGAGCCCAGTTTTTTTCTTATATCTTTTACAAAACCTAGAACAAATTTTATCTGTCAAAATGCTTGGCAATTCTGTTAATTTAGCTTCCCACTCTAAATATTCGGGAGTTAATGTATTCATGTTGCCGTTTTATATGACCTCACATCTCTTTAAATTGGTAATAACCGACAAAAAAAAAATACACACTGTCCACTCGCAAGCTCGTGTCCAGATTAATATAGTTAGCTTTTTTATTATATATATTTATCCCGACAATAAGTGAAATGAATTGGCGGGGTATAAGATAGCGGAGCTAGTGTCAACGACATTTAAAGTTTATGCTGTTATCTCAATCTTAAATTCCACGCTGTTCACATTTAATAAAATAGGATCCAGTTTTATATCTACCTTTTATACCATAATCCTCATAATGATCTAACTTGCATAGCGGGCATAAAGATTCATCAGTAATTCCATAATAATCATCGTTTCCATCACTGCCTTCCCAATATAAATCAGGATATTGTTCTTCCATTTTATTACGGAAATAGGCACGGTTATGGTTGGTGTACTTATCTTGGTCTCCAGTAATGATTTATCTTTCTCACTTAAAAACTCGTCTTCATCATATCCTCACCATCAGAGGATTCCGAGTTAGAATCTGAAAAGCTATCGATTAAAGTTTCTGAAATTCGTTATTTTCATTTATTATATCTTCCGAATTAGAGGTATGAGATGATTTAATAGAGGGAGTAGTTGTAATGCTTACCTCAGTTTCCGGTAAAATTTTCGTGGTTTGTTCAGTCACGTGCGCGTTACAATTTGTCTTTTCTTGATATTTAACATCTGCACTAATAGATTTTTTAGGAAAATAGTCTATAATATCTTGAATTTGGTTGTCAGTTAAACTCGAAATTGCACTTTCACTACATGTAATTACTCGGACTTTTTCTACTCCTATTCCCATAAGTAACGTATAGATCTTTTTTGCTCTGAATGTTCTTTGACGCAAATTTACATCACTGATATCTGGGAGAAGTGCTTTTATCTCATTATATACCAATGTCCTTGATGGTTGGTCATTTTATTTATACGTTTAATGTCCTTGACTCGATCCTAATATGCTTTATAGTAGCAATACCGGCATAAAATATCTTTTTGTCTAATCTTCATTGTTATAATAAACAAATCGGCTATATTTTGTGCTGTAATTTTGCTAGATCCTGTTACAATTACTTCTAGCGAGAATTCAGGAATTTGTATATCAAATACTTCACTAACTTTATTATTATTCTCTTTAATGAACACAGATAAGTCGTGCCTTAAGTCTTGCTCAACTCTTTTATTATATGGAATTTTGATTCTGGTATTTTGTGCTTGATCAGTAGGCATTGATTCTGATTTGGTGGTTTTATGTTCATGGATAATTTCGATAATAGGATTTATTTCAGTAGAAATTGCATTTTGTATATTAGAAGAGGAATATGTTTTTTTTTGCACCATTTGTTGCCCTCGGCATATCTTCTCTTCCCTATTTCTTTCTCTTGCCATATTACTAACCCTTTCCTTTTCCTGTAATTCCAAAAATTCATTAATTTTCTTTCTCTTCCGATGATAAAATTTCTATAGGAATTATAGGAATGAGAGATGTGAAAGATCGGCTATCCTTTTCCTAGTACATATAAGAAGAACCGGAGAGATGGTATTAACTGAATATTGATCGATTCCCTTGGCATCATCATCTAATTTAACAATAAAGTTGTTCTTTTCATCGGTTTGCGATTGCTTCTGTTCTAATTTCGCAACTCTAGCTTTAAGCTCAGAATTTTCAACAGCAGTATCTTTATCATTCTGCTCCATTTTCGTAAATCTGGATTCATGTTCTTCCAAAGCTTGTTTTAATTTTACGTTCTCAACTTTAAGTTCATTGTTCTCGCCCTCAATTTCGGAAAATTTTTTTCTAAGTTTAGGAATTTCAGCATTCTCCTTTCTAAGTTCAGTAATCTCGGATGCAAGCTTAGAGTTTAATTCTCTCAAGGTATTGATTGTTAATTGATCGTTCGACATTGTTTATTACAAAATGAGGATATATTCAAAAGGTTAATCACACGAAAAAATATTGTTAATAATCGCGTTAACACACCTTTGCTTTATTGATTGTAATAAGAAATCTATCTACCAATATAAATTTTCGTTTTTCTAAACTATTCGTATCTATACTATCAGAAAAATGACCTGAGAGAAAAAATCCGCTGAAAGTTTATGTTGCCTGCCTTCTTAAATGCTAATAAATTTCTCGGAAATCTGTGCAAAAGAGTATTTATTAGTTTTCAAGCCTGGAAGTTCATTCATTGAAATGCACTGTACCTTAATTGAGTTCGGAACTTTAATTTCTGATTGCAAATCTGTTCAAATCCAGTATAAACCTTTGATAAAGAACCCTGGCCAAAAACGTTTTCCATATTTTCGTGAACTTGGAAGACAACGCGAACGTCACTTTTTTCACGTGATTATCCGGAGCGAAGCGAAGGTTTCTCCGCGCAACACGTGAGAGTATTCCAAATATGACACGTGATCAAATTTATTTAATTGTTATTGGTCAATTATATATTGCTCCGGATTTACAACGGTTTCCGTTTCCTAGTATACTCAATCAACACCAAAATAACAAGTCAGTGTACTATGTCCGATAACAAAATACACGAGTACTTTGATCGCACATATACTGAATGGAGTCTTATGGGGCTTTTAAAAGAATGTAAGACAGTACCATTCGATAAGAAGATGGATGAGTACCTCAAAAGTCTCGAGATCATTAACTCGGAGAAAGGCAACAGACAAAGAAAAGCAAGTCAGCTTCTCGATAGATATAGGAAGGCAAGTGAAAGCTTTTATAAAGTGTATGATAGGTATAAAATCGTGGTGTGACAAGGGCTTTCTTGGTTCTTGATCATTCAAGGCTTTTTGCTGAACCACAAACTGGTATTGGGGCACAGATGGCTTTCTTGGTTATCTGATGTTCAAGGCTTCTTGCTGACCAGATGGGATAGGAACGAGTTGAAATCAAAGACATGTTGAGAATGTTGCTAATTTATAAATCTTTGCAAGGACCCTCGACCCGATTATCATAAAGCAAGAAGTTTGGAAAATGATTGTCAACAAGATAAAGCAATTGGTGGAAATTCAATCGTCATTCAAAATTCAACATTATCGGGAAGCTCTTTGTCGGGAGGAAACTTAATTATTTTATAAACGTATGTACAGGTTGGGACTATCTTCCATAATAGATCTTTCATCTGAGTTCAAAGGGGGAATGCACACCTGGTTTGGGGATAACTTATTGCCATTAAAGAGAGAAGTATTTTCAAAAATTGACTTGAAAGTCGAAAAGTTTACTGGAGAAGTATCAGAATTGATAACAAAAGTAGAAAATGTATAAAAACTGTACTATCTGTTGAAAAATATTACCACGTGTTGTCAAATTTTTACTCTTTTCATTATACTATACATTTAGCTTTGTAATTCATATGATTTTTGGGGGGCTCGAAAACTTGTATTTAGAAAAAATCCTATTGATAATCAAATGAGACAAGTGGCTAAAATATATTTTATCATGTATGTGTATTATATATTTTTTTTTTTTTGTGCTTCGTTTCTTGTTTGAAATCCACAGAATTAAATCGAAACTTTATTTTATCAGCATTGATTTATTTTTAGAAAATCCTTATACTTTTGTTAATGAAGATGGCCAACTTCAAAATCATACCGAAATCCAATATGCGATGATTTTAGCAAGCCCTATTTTAAATGTAATATTCTCAGATCAACGAGATCATGTTAGACTGATGTGGTAAGTAATTTTATTAACTAAAGAAATTTTCAATTGCAGATCTGACAAATTGGTTTACCAATTTTTCAGGGGAGAAACAGTTTCACAAGTCACAAATGATTCAAGAAAAAAAATTGACTTTTGCATAAGAACTAAGGATGGTATGAAGGAGTTGAGCCATTCTAGTGTGCTCGGAGAGCTACATTTATAAAAATTCTAAAAGATCGAAGCAAATCTCTTAGAACAAATAAATGTATACTTGACGAATATATTGGAACAATCTTCCAGATGAAGCTCTAGATGATACAGCAATTTTTGGGTTACAGCTGGCAGGTGAGGTCATATCATCATTGAATATTATACATTATTCATATTTATTATAATTAGTTATTTTCGTGTTTTAATGATATATGTTTTAGCTTTGGAAGGTCAAATAATTGGAATTGACTTACTGGACGAAGGGTTATACTTCGGATTTGATGGACCAGCTTTCAAGTTTCCTGCTCAGAT